CTCATGCCAAGGTCACCAAAGACCTCCATGTTGTTCAGTCCAGCAGACATTACCATTTGTCTTCTGAGAAGCATTCAACACTGTTCCTCCCATCTTGTTCCTGAGTGCCTTCATGTCTATCTCATAGTTCCTCCCTTTCTCCTTTGCAGGACCATCCTCCTCTTCCAACTGTTAGTGGATTGATGTTCTTTCAAGACAGCTTCCAGGTCTTCCTACCCTCTCATTCTGCCCACTCTCCAAGTTACCTCATTCACTCCTGAGGAAGAACTAATGTCTTATACACAGATACATATATTTTTACCTCCTGCCCCTGCTGCCCCTGGGAACTTAAGATCCACATGTCCACCTGTCTACTTGACATCAACACTTAAGATGTCTCAGGAACACATCCAGTTTAACAAGTTCAAAACTGAACTCTTCTTTGAAAATGCTCTACCTCTAAATGGAATCACAGTCTTTCCCATCACACAGCCTGTGTTTTGCCACCTCTGTATCGTTGGAATCTACTTCCTTAATCTCAGCTGCCTCCTCTCTTTCCCAGGCTACCATCCTTTCATGGAGTCCCCAGCAGCCTCTTCCAGTTCTCTTAGGCATACTGTTCAGCCCCAGCCCATCACGTGGCCTCCCCATCACATTAATCTTCCAGTTAACTATGCCTCCTCCTGCCACAGGGTCTTCATACCTGCAACCCTACTTCCTGGCACTCTTTACTGCCTTCTGCTCCAGTCCAGCCAGCCCCACCTTCAGTCATCACTGCCCTGGTCCATGCCTGTCATGCTTGCTCATATCCTGAAGTTCTTCTACCTCCTGACACTGTCACTGTTGAAATGTTACATTTGTGCAGTTCTTCAATCAGTGTGTGTGCCCCTCCAGACTGTAAGCTGCCTGAGGGTGAACACTGGTGTTTGGGCAGGGCCCAACCCAGAGTGGACGCCCACACATTGTACTCATGAAAGGAATCGATATGGGAAATGCTCAGATTTACACATTACATCTTGGTGGAAATATTTTCATAATTTTTCCCACAAAACATTTTTCAGAGCAGAAAGTATAAAGCAAAAAGAATATAAAAACTACCTCTTTTCCTACTTCCAAATTGGATTTTGCTTTCTCAGTAATCACTTGAAGTATAGATATAGTAGAAGAAATCATTTATTATACTCTCTCAAACTTTTTTCTGTATAATTTAGTGAAAACAATATAGAATTTATTACTTCTTAATTTTCCTTGCCACCCTGTAAACTCCTTTTGTTTTTATTTGCACTTTTATTTCCACAAAATATTGAAAAATTGATTGTCATTAGCTTCATTCTAATTGTGCTTACTGTCACAAGACTTGGCTTTTAGTTCTGATTCTATTTTTAAAAACTGATATTCCAATGCTAGTATAAAGATACATAAACTTAAGTTTTTCACAAATATACTCTGAGAATTATTCAGTAATATTTACTTGAGTAAACTGAATGGGAGACTATGATTCTAAATTAGTCTAGAGTTTTGTTAAGTAGGAGTTTCATACATTTTTACTCACCGTAGCATGAAGGAGATTTTAGTTAATACCGAATGGCTAAATGTGATGTCTGGTTAAGTTATTACAACAACTTGATAGGAAGAGAATTATAATTTGGTCTTGCACAAATGCAGTTGATTCAGAGTTATCTCAAGAAAACCACTTGCATGGAAAGATATAAATCATCAGTTTTTATGAGTTAAAGATTAACTGGTGGTTGCAGTTAAGGTTATTTGGAACATTATAAAGTGGTTATAGATTCTAATCCATTACAATGTATTTTAAGATGTTATTCTGATTATTTTATTCCATAATCAGATGATATCATTTGCTGTTTCAAGCATCTGCCCTGTTTACAACTTTGCTTCCCAAACTGTGCCCTACAGCATCGAAGCAAATTCAGCAGGAGTGCCACAGGATGTTTTAAAATTTCAAGGGCAATGTTGAAATACTCAATATCTGTAGGACACCCTGCAACCCACTAGCTTGAGGGAGTTCACAATTTCAACTTAAATTGTACTACTCTCCTTAAATGATGTGGTATCTTAGGGAAGCTGGATGGATTCCCAACAGCTGTGTAAAAGAGGGGGTACCCATGAAAGTCAGAGTGGATCAGGGAATGAGGGTGGTTTGATTGTGAGGTCTGAATATTTGTGCAGTGCCCAACACAACCTAATTATATACTAATTAGTATGTATGTTAATTATTTTACTAAAGTATTAATATAATATTTATTTTATAAAATATGCCTGGTAGTTTGTGTATTATGTTTTTCTTTTTGTCATAGTTTTTAAAAATATTATTGAACTACTTAATTTTTAGAACAGGCAATTCTTTAACATGATTCAAAACTCAAAAGCATAAAAATGAACACAGTGTGAGAAGTGCCTCATCTGAGTTGATGGTAGCTCCATGCTTCTGATCGTTCCGGACAAAACCTCTGAGCAGGTCTTGGCTTCTCTGTCTTTCTCACACCCCACGTTCAGGACTAGAGAAAGTCATGTTGGCTGTACTTTCCAAACATACCCAGAATCGGATTCCTTGTTCCTAGCCACACTGTGGTCACCCAGGTCAAAACAGGCTATTGCTACAGTTCCTCATAACTGTACTTGTGCCTCCCCTACTCCACCCCCATTTCACTCCCCCCAGCAATCTTTTGAAACCCTAAATTAAGTGATAATCACTGTAACACCCAGAGTGGAATAAAAACACTCTGGCTTTTGTTCTATTGCACAGCCTGGAACAAAAGCCAGAGTCTTTTTAGTGATCTGCAGAGCCATATAGGACCCACGTGCCTTTACTTCTCAGATCTTAGCTGTTACTATTCCACATGTGTTCTCATACAGCCACACTGGTCTCCTCTTCCCAAGTATACCAGGCACACCCCTGCCACAGGGCCTGTGCACTAGGATGCTAACCCTATGTCTTTCAAACCTTGGCCCACTCCAACCTACTCTTTTTAATGTATTAGTGACCCCCACCTGTGTACTGATGAACTCTTTTATCCTGCTCTTTTTCTTTTTTTTCCATAGCTTTCTAACATAGTAAGTAATTTACTGCCCACATGGTAATTTACTAAGTTTATTTTATTTTCTGACTCTCCCACTACAATGTAAGCTCTCCAGAGCAACTAGAAGAATAACTTGGCAGTAATAGGTGTGCAGCAAATACTGAATGAATAATGTACAATATGTGGTTAAAGAATGTACATCATTCTTAATTTTTGTCAGTTTGAATTATGAATCAAAGTATATTCAAATCTTTCTCTAAAATGATGGATTGTCCATTCTCCCTAACACCTGAACAACTTTTGCTCTGTACTTTCAGGCTAATTAAGTACTTATAAAATATGAATCTTATCTTTCTGGCTAATTGAACCTTTTATCATTATGTACAGACCTTATTTATCCTTAACAATGCTTTTAATTTAAAGTTATTGGTTTATCTACTATCAGTAAAGGCAAGCCAGCTTTTCAATAATTTTAACTTTTGTTCCTTTTTGAGTTATGCTTTAGGTATGTCCCTTGCATATAGCTTATAGATGTTGTTTTTTAAATTTAAATTACTTTATTGTTGTTCAATTATAGTTGTCTGTATTTTTAATTCATTTTGATATCTTTTATTTTAATTGCTTGTCCATTTATGCCTATTGTGATTATGTACAGATCCAGATTTGTTTCTGTCATTTACTTTCTATTTGTCCCACTTTTGCAGTGCTTATTTTTTCTTCTTACTTGAATATTTTTTATTTATTTTTATTTTTTTAAGATTTTATTTATTTATTTTTAGAGAGGGAAGGGAGGGAGAAAGAGAGAGAAACATCAATGTGTGGTTCCTGGGGGTCATGGCCTGCAACCCAGGCATGTGCCCTGACTGGGAATCGAACCTGCGATGCTTTGGTTTGCAGCCCGCGCTCAATCCCCTGAGCTACGCCAGCCAGGGCGAGTATTTTTTTTTAATTAGTTTTATTTGTATTCTCTTCTGCTAGTGTGAAGCTTATCTACCCTGTTTCTGTTCTTTTAATGTTTGTCTTTAAAATTTTTACCTTAATACTTAGTCTAAAGTTAACATCTTAACTCTCCTCCTGAACACTACACAAACACTGCACCTCTGGCGGTCTACTTCCCAGCATACACGCTGTGGCTACACAGTGTTTGTATCCACCTCTTTTTGTTTACCTGTGTTTTTCCATGTATTTACCTGCTTATCTGATTCTTTTTGTATTGCACCTTTTCCACACACACTTAACTTTTTTTCTAAAGTATATCCTTAGACTTTAAATAATATGCTTTAAATCTTACAGGTTTCTTTAAATTCTGTTGTAGGTAAGTTCTCAGTTTTTCTTTATCTGGAAAAGCCTTTATTTTGCTCTTATTTTTTTGAAAACTAGTTTTGATGGATACACATACACTATTGATTATCTGTCTATCATCTACCTACCTATATTTGATGTGTATTTTTTCCAACACCTGAAAACAATGAACTGAATTCTGACACTGTCTTCCTGGAGACAGCATCAGATACCACAGGTTAAAGGCTTAGTCCCATAAGACTGCTCCCTCTTCAGAGGCCAATTGGAAGTCCAGGTTGCCACTTGTGCTTCTTACTGACTGGCTGTAAATTGGATCTTCCTAAGACTGTCTTCTCGGTTCCATTAATTTGCTAGCAGAGCTCCTGGAGAACATGTACTTATATTTACCAGCTTGTTACAACAAATCCAGATGAAGAGGTACTTAGGGCAGGGCCCAGATGAGTCCAGAGTGTAAGAGCTTCTGTGCCCTTGGCACTGGGGTACACTGCTCTCCTGGCATGTAGATGCCCTCACCAACCAGGAGGCTCATCAGCTCTTGTTTCTCAAAAGTTTTTATAGTGCTTAATCTACTCCAGCCCCCCACTTCCTCATCCCTGAGGTTAGTGGGTGGGGCTGAAAGTTTCAAGCACTTCCCACCTAGTAGTAATAATCTGTGCCATTTATTTTATATTTTTCTAGATCAATGAACTGAGCCATGTTCAAATCCCTGTTATGTTGATGCCAGATGACTTCAAAGCCTATTCAAAGATAAAGGTGGACAATCACCTTTTTAACAAGTAAGTGGAAGTACGACCTTTTCTAGAACTGATGTGGCCGCCAGGAGTATAATTTTTTGTGAATTTCTATAATCACATTGTTTTTCAATGGGTAGGTGCAAAGTTTTGCTGATGAAGTTAATTCTGCGATAAACATAACCATCTGTCATTTTCAGAAAAGCAACAGCAGGCCCTCTTGGGTAATATCCTTTTGCCATATGGCATATTGTTTTCTATGAATATCTTATACATTAAAAGTGATATTCTCATTACAATTTAGATGTTTCAAGCTGTAAATTGCTTGGATTTTTTTTTAGCAGTTATGGACCTCAGTTATCTTACATAAAACTCTCATAATGATTATGAACAGAAGTGATGACTTCATAAAAAATAAAAAATTAAGGTGTATTTTTATAAAACATAATTGGATGCCATGTTGGGCATTGAGACTATTTCGCTTTCATTGGAATGTCATTTTAGGTGTCACCATGGAGCCCTTTACATGGTGGACTGTCCCCTGGGAGCTGGAGACACCAGGGTATATAAGAAATGGCCCTGCCTTCAAGGGGCTGATGGTCAGGCAGGTGGTTGAAAACTGACACATATACAAATTACAGTAATTTGGTGTGCAAAGTGCCTCAACAGAGGGGTGTGTGTGTGAACACAGAGAAGGAAGCAATTCTCAGTGAGTAGGATGAACCTCAAATCCTAATCAAAGGATTAGCTCAAAAATTATGAAAATCATCTAATTAGCTGAAATTTCTTAATGGGGCCATTGTTCTAATGTGAAACTCATGTTAAATCTCCTCATAATACTGTGTTGCAGGGGTGTCCAACCCATGGCCCATGGGCCACATGCAGCCCAGGATGGCTATGAATGCAGCCCAATGTAAAATTGTAAATTTACTTAAAACATTTTTTTGCTCATCAGTTTTCATTAGTGTTTATGTATTTAATGTGTGGCCCAAAACAATTCTTTTTCCATTGTGGCCCAGACATGCCAAAATGTTGGACACTCCCGGTAGAGGCTGACCATTTGAGGGGATCTTTTCTATGTGAATTTAGGTTGTGGTATTTATATAAAATATATTAAAACAGGTCATTCAGGGAGTGAGAGCAGTCTTGTTTTGTGAGCTTCTATCCACTAGTATAATAACCAAAGATGAGTGTGGGGAGCACTGTTTGTGGCTCACTCTGATGCTCTTCCCAAGTGTCCACGGTCTCCGCCATTTTCCTCAGCATGGCCCTTCCCTTTGCACCTCTTCCTTGAGGAAGCAGCTGTAGCACGTGGTCAGGATTAAAAGATCATGTAAGCCAACTGTTCCTAGATGTTGAGAGACACAGATGTTATCAGTCTGGCCCTTCTGTCCCCTGGATCTTGTGGTTTGTACATTTGACCCTTGAACAACATGGGTTTAAACTGCATAGGTCCACTTATACACAGATTTTTAAAAAGATTTTATTTATTTATTTTTAGAGAGAGGGGAAGGGAAGGAGAAAGAGAGCGAAACATCAATGTGTCATTGCCTCTTGTGTGCCCCCTAGCAGGGACCTGGCCCCAACCCAGGCATGTGCCCTGACTGGGAATTGAACCAGCGATTCTTTGGTTCACAGGTTGGCACTCAATTCACTAGCCACACCAGCCAGGGCAGACTTTTAAAATAAATGTGTGCATGTACATTTTCTTCCTTATAATTTTTAATAACATTTTCTTTTCTGTAGCTTATTTTATTGTAACAATATAGTATGTAATAGATAGAACACAAAATATGTTTGAATTGTCTTTATGTTATTGGTAAGACTTCCAGTCAACAGTAGGCTATTAGTTAAGTTTGGGGGGAGTCAAAAGTTACTGCTAGATTTTCAGTTGTGGGGGGAGGTCAGCACCCCTGACCCCCATGTCGTTCAAGGGCCCACCGTAGTTGTTCTGTGAAGTACCCCTGTGCCTTAAGTGGGTAGGGACCTCCAGGCACTTCTTTGGCTACTCATAGAACTAGATGGTGGGAGATTCAAGTCTGGTTAACTCTGTGTATTAGAGTTTTATTCCACAATATCTGTTTCAGAGAAAACATGCCGAGCCATTTCAAGTTTAAGGAATACTGCCCGATGGTTTTCCGAAACCTGCGGGAGAGGTTTGGAATCGATGATCAGGATTTCCAGGTGAGTTGCCTTTGTGCCGCTTGCTTCAGATGGGCTTCATTGTTCTGTGCTCTGTAAAACAGGACTTACACTTTTGTTGTTACAGGTGATTATGGGATAGTAATTGTCATTTTATATATTAATTTTTAATTTTTTCTGAAATAAAAGGTACTTTCAGTTAGGGACCCCTACATAATATGATTTCAGTAGTCAGTAGGAAAAGAAATGATTCTTTGGGAAGGCATATGAGAATGTTATATACTGCTCTCAAGTGCAGGTGAAGGTGTTCTGCCAGCACAAAGTCCTTTTGATTCCTTTCATCAAATGTGTCACCAGACTGTTCAAATGTGTACGTATGTGGTTTGAATTAGCATTTCCTATATTTGTAGAGGCCACTTAGGAATCGTAGAAGTTTCTTCTTGTTTTTGCCGATTTGCTGCTTTTCAAATTGGCCCATGCTGACTCTTGCCCACAGTGTTTGTGTCAGAGGCCACACTTTGTGTATTGCAGTGTGGCATGGCAGTGACGGAGCCCCCTAGTTCCAGGCACAGTCCCATGGAGCACCGCCCTCTTTCTCAAGTTTGCTTTTAAACTTGAAATCACGGTGCCATCATATATGCTGATCCATGATTGTCACCGTACAAAGTGACCTGACATTGGTTACCTAATATTTATATAGCCAGCAAGAAAAACCAAGAATTTTTTTTTTATAGCAGAAATCTGTGTTATGAGGTGCAAGGGCTACTCTCTGGTCTTTCACAACAGTCTGGTCATTTTACTGTGGGAGTACTGACTTGTCTTAAATCCAGCAGACACTTTCTCTCTTTTGTCCTAAATAGGAAAGCTTAATTCATCCTGCAGTAAGTGCCATACTGCCACCCTGGATGACCTTACAAGTTGAATATCAGCACAGCTTATCCTGTATTTTCCCTTCAGGTTTAGTGTCTCTAAGGCAATTTGAGCTTAGTACACTTTCCTAAAGGTCTGTGGGCCTCCCCACCCTTCTCTGCCTACCCCATTGTTGAAATTTTTCAAGAATTTCCCACATGTCCCCTCAGGCCTGAGAAGCCTTGCCCTGGCCATGTTTTGAAAAAGCAGCACTGTGGCCACAGGTGACATTCCTTCCTCCGCAGACTGGGGCTGGGTGTCCACCGAGGTCCAGGTTCTGAGCAGAGGCTTGGGTACGTCCTGGAGAGGGCTGAGAGGAAGTTGATAGGGAGGATGTGGGCGCTCGGTTTGCTTTTAAAAACTGCTGCGGAGCCAACAGTGCTGAGGTTTGACCTTCATGTGTCAGAGAGACAGAACTTAGATCAAACTTAGACTTGAAATTTACTGCTGAAACAATAAGTCTCTTTTAAAGAATAAAATTGGAATAGTAAAAAGGGTTATATAAAATAAAAAGGAATAGTTGCACATTATTTTAGGACTGTTATTACATTTAAAGAGGCCGTATAAAAATAAACTGAGTACTTTAAAAAGGGGTGATAAGCTGATAACTGAAATTTCCTGTGGCTGACTCTCTCATGCTAAATTACTCAAGTGTGTTCTTCCCTGTGTCCCCTCCTTTTTTTCTTTATAAATAAAAGAGTTACACTGACATTTCATAGAAACTGACTTTGAGGACCTAAGCAATAGGATCTTGTTAGATTCCTCAATTCATCACCAAAATGAAAACCCTTATATTTCTTCTCCTAATCAGCCCTGTTCAATGAGATCTAAAATGGGGCCATTACATCCTGAGTTCTGCACTACAGCAGATAAAAGTCATTTTAAAAATTTCCTATAATGACCAGTTTAGTTGCTGAAATACTAAGGCATGAGCTATTTTCCTTCCCTTGCAAAACCATGTAAGTTGATATTTAAGTAAGTGCAAATTGCTAAGTACAAACTTTGAAGGCAAATTAGGCAATTGGAGGATGATTCACACTAACTAATTGGTGAGTCTTTTGAGCTCTTAGCATGCGAGAGCACAGAGGAGAGCCAGTGTGAATATAATTAATCATTTGAACACTGCCCCCTTTCCTCAGCTATGCCTGGTGCTTTTGGCATTTAAATTGCTGCTTTCTCTTTGACAACTGTATTTTTATGAAGAAAAAAAAAAGGAGGGTGTTCAAAGTAACTTTAGTAAACCAGAGACTTACTGGTTTCCCTCCCAATCTTATGTTCCCTTCCCAATATCTGTACTGCTTAAAAAGTTGTCAGCAAGGGCGAGACCCCTTAGTTTAAACCAAAGACAAGATCATAAATGCAGGGCTCCACACACTTTGTCGGCTACTTAGTTGGTAAAAAAAATAAGAGGAAGTTGTGCCAACACTGGCTGTGGCTTTGTGTCTCGAGGGCCCCTGCACGGTGCAGGGGTGAAGGTGGAAGTGGTGCGGTCCTGGGAAGGCCACAGTGGGACCAGGCTGGGATCACAGGGGCCAGTCATCTCAGCTGCTTGGCACTTCAACTCACTAGTGGCCATGTATTTCATTCAGCAGAGCCAGAACTAGTAACAGGTATCAGTTGACACATGTAGTACCAAACCCCCAAACTGATTTGAAAAGTGGGGTCAGTAACCTGGGGTCTCGTCACCTATTAGAGGCACTGCTTCAGTTGCCAACAGGGACCAGGCCTCACGCTGCTTTTGACTTGCTGTATTTATTTTTCTGAAGTGGTTGAATGTAGCAGCTTTAAATCAAGTGGCCACAAGGAGCTCCATTGTGTGGTTCATTTAGTATTCAAGCCTTCATATTAAGGCCAATGAACAAATGGTGTTGACCTGCCTTGTGTGCGTGGATGGCTTCTTCCTGCAGCAGAAAAAAGTCACTATTGATCACTCTGGAAAAAAAAAACAGAACATAGTTCAATAATTAGCCTACCTCATTGACCTCTGTCAGTGAACTTAAAGGAACTGAAAAGCATTCCTGCTGTCACATAAACATTTGTATCTTTTCTCTGGTTTTGATTCCTTGCTTGTCTTTTAAAAAGAAAACTTTTTCTTAGTGTTAAAGACAGATTCAAACAACAGTTCTAAAATAGTCATCATTAATAACAGTGTCACCTAGCATGTATATGTAAGCCTGTGTGTGTGTGTGTGTGTGTGTGTGTGTGTGTGTTCATGCACCCAGGGCTTCCAGGTTCAGAACTTTGTTCAATTAGTGCTTCTTAAAATTATTTCATTGGCTTGTAATATGTTCAAAGATGAATTTTGTTCTTCTGATCATTGTGGGGCTGATGTGATACCTTACCATATTTTTAAGATAAGTTATCTTTGAAGGTGACTGTCCCCTTGGAGGCCTCCTCTGTTACTGTTGCAGTTCTCTCTCTGCCATCAACACTGCCACCTTCAGTTCTGGTCCCCTTTAGGTTGGATCAACTCAGTGTGTGTTTATTTGCACTTACCTACATGTCAGGCCCTGCTAGACATTGTAGGAAGTGCAGAAGAGAAGAGAGGGTGAAGGAGTTTTTGTTGTTGTTGTGAAGTATTCTGAATTTTCTATTAGATGCTAGTGGGGTTTACAGAAACCCAGACATCCTGATTTTTAATGTTCTTCAAGAAAATCTACTTTCCTGTCTCTAAGGGAATCAGACCCTCTTATAACAGGCCTCAAAAAGCTAAAGCAAATTTTCAGGTAAAGTTTCTGAGCTGCAGGAATTACCCACCAGAAACCAAAAAATTGTGCAGGATGGAGATGATGCAGTTTAAAACTACTCCAGAAACCAAGCCTCCTTATTCTTTGTGAAAGATAATACCAGGTTTACTTCCTCCCTACTGCGTCTCCTGAATTAGAATCCCTCATTATTCACATTTGATGCATTTTCTTCTTTGTATTTGTAACAGAGAATTCTAATTTTAAAATAATTTTAAGAGCTAATGTTTTAAACTTTTGATGTTCTTGTTTGAGGTTTAAAAATAAAAACCTAAAATGTTGAGACCTTTCCAGAGTATACACTTTGGAAAAAAACTCTACCAGTATCTAGAATACAAAGTCTATTGCCATGTTTTCCAATGTAGATTTTCCAAATATAATTTCAACTATCGGAGGGCAGGAATGGAGTCTAGCTGGTTTTCTGCATTGCAGGCCAGAGTCAGTAAGCCTGGGCATTGGAGTAAGTGCTCTGGACATTAAGAAATGCTGGACACTAAGTGCTCTGGACATTAAGTGCTCTGGACACTAAGAAATGCTCATGGAAGAGAGGGACTGAAGGCTGAGGTGGACATTCCAAGAGAATTGAGCCTTCTGGGCCAAAATATGGAGGCCAGAATGCTCAGGGAAATGAAGCAACTGATGGTGGTAAGACTGTGGGAGATAAAGATGGAAAGTGGAAAATGTGGAAACTGGGCTGAAGGTCTCAGCCAGATACTTCAGCATGTGAGCAGCCCTGTGGGTTTTGCACAAGGGAGTGATGTGATGACATCTGGATTTTCTAAAGATAATTGAGGCAATTATGTATAGAGCACATAAAAGGCAGATACAGAAATTAGGAGGCTATGATCTATCCCAACAGGTGAAGAAGAGGCATGAACCAGGACACTTGGCACTAACAGGGTCAAGCAGAGAGCATCATGGCAAGACAATGAGAAGAATAAAGTGACAGGAGAGGTGGCTGATGGGCCACAGGAGCAAAAGGCAGAAGCCAGAGGTGTTAGAGCCTGAGACACTAAGAGAGCAGGGATGCTGATCACGGGAGGAGGGAAGTTTGGACTGGGGCAGGAAAGAGAGGAAGATGAGTTGACTTTTCAGCTTGTTGATCATAGAGGTGACCTGGAGGTGCCTGTGTGAGGCTGGTCATCATGCAGTTGGCCTTCCCAGGTGGAGTTCAGGATTGGGGTCTGGAGCAGAGGCCCAGATCTGGGAGTGATTAGCACATAGGTCCCTCAGACAAGCTTCCTTGTACTGTCACCACCTCAGTTTGCTTCCTCATCGAATCAGATAAGCTCTTTTATTCCTTTGTAATTGTTTCTTGTCTCTTCAGTGTGCTTAGCCCACTCTTAAAAAGTTTCTCCTCATACTTACTGGCCTCCCTGGTTAGCTACT